TAATAATAATAACAGTGATGAAGAGAGTGCTGAAATAGACATTTTTCTTCTTTGAAGCTCCCATGCCCTACCCATAAGAGCTGTATGATAATGTTGATAATCATGATGAAGGTAAGGTAATGCTAAAGCAGACATTTTCTCACCTATATGTTTAAGAAGATTTTTCTGGATACCAGTAAGAAAGAAATCCAAATGAGAGTTGGCTTCCAGGATATCACACTCCTATTTTTCTTCCCCTGCCTTAATGACCTCTCCTCCCTCATCTGCTTTTCTGGTTCTAGAGGCTTTATCTCTTCAGCCTTTATATACTGGAGTGTCTCAGGGCTTTGTCCTTGAACCGGTCTCTACCCACCTTCCTCCTTTTGCAATCTCATCTACTTCTACAGCTAAGTACCATCTGTATGCTGACAACACCCACATTTATTTCTTCAGCTTGCACCTCTCCCCTGAAATACAGAGTGGTATAGCCAATACCTATTGGACAACCTGTTCGTATGTCTCAAAAGCATCTCAAACCTAAACAAGTCTAAAACGCAACTCCTGATCTTCCCTCCAAACCCACTGTTCCCTTGAACTTCCTTGGCTCAGAAAATGGTATCTCCATCCTTGCAGTTACTTAGGCCCAAAACCTGTATTTCTTTCTCTCACATCCCATTCCTTGTCCATCAGCAAATCATGTCAACTTTACCTCAAAACATTGTTTTCTGGACTATGACCATTTTTAAAACCTCCACTCCAGGTCCAGGCCCCCGTTCCCTCTCTTCCTGGATTATCGCACTTGTCTCCCAGTCGGGGTGCCCTGCTTCCATGTTTGTCCCCCTGTAGTCTATTTTAACATAGTAGTCAGAATGGTTCTCTTAAAATATAAGTCTCTTGGCTCACAACCCTCCTGTGGCTTCTCATTGCATTCAGAGTAAAAGCCAAAATACCTAGAACGGTGTCAAGACTCTAAAGAAGGGGTTTTTTCAACCTCAGCACTACTGACATTTTAGGTCAGATCAGGTTTGTTGTGGGTGCTGCCCTGTACGTTGTAGGATGTTTAGCATCATTCCTGGCCCTTACCCACCAGATGCCAGTATCACCTCCCCAAGCAGTGACAACCAAAAATGGCCGCAGGCGTTACCAAATGTCCACTGGAGCATGCGACCGCCCTAACCTGGAATGACTGCTCTAAACGTGATCCCTGCATTACCTTTCCACCTCATCTCCTGCTATCCCCCAGCCCCCTGCACTCACTTCTCTGCAGCCACACTGCCTCCCTACTATTTCTCCAACACGCTAGACACCCTCCTGCCTTAGGGCCTTTGTGCTTGCTTTCCCTCTGCATAGAGTAATATTCCTTTACATAGCCATATGGCTCACTCGCTCACTTCCTTCTCCTCTTTGCTCAAATCACCCAATTTAAAACTATCAACACCTATCTTCTGTTTCTTATACACCATTTCTCTTTCCCCTGCTCTGTTTTTCTGACTTGTTCGTTTTCTCTCTTCCCAAATTAGAATGTAAGCTTCATGGTGGTATGTTATTTTTCCCATTTTGTTCACTGCTATATTCCAAGCATCTAGAACACACGATAGGTGCTCAAAATTAATATTTATTGAATGAATGAAAACAGTGAATGAAGAAAGGTCTCTGAAGTAATTGAAATAGTAAAAAGATGTTTTTCTTTTATTGATAGCTCAGGAGCTGGTCAATGACTGGTTAGACACCAAACTTAAGCAAGAACTAGCAAGTGATGGGGATGCCGAAGACACTGTGTCAAGTATCCCTCCTGTGTCAGAGGCCAGTGGTCATTTGAAATATGACAATTTTGACGGTAAGAACTGATCTGATTGTTCTGAGCTTTAACATCCAATGAATGTGTCTAAGAAGTCTTTTCAATTGTTTTGAATAACAGATGATATACCTTTTGACTTTTCTGTGTTTTGCTTAGATTTATAATTGGCTTTCATTTTTCCTGATTCAATTTAAATTCCTTATCAATATCCTCAGTAAATTCATGATATTTTTAAGTCAAAATATTCTGTTATTTATAATTCTTACGACTATAATAGTAAGTAATGCTGTTTAAGAGTGCCTCTTCCTGTAAATTGTTGGTCAACCATTTACTTTGGAGACTATGCGCACTCATATATTATTTTATATTTGCAAAATGCTTCATATATCTTTATAAGGAAAATTATTATATACAGAGCTAGCGACAGACAAGTTAAATAACTAATTTGTGGTGGTTCCTCGAATGTAGCTAGAGTCTGAGATTTTTTTTCCCTAAGCATAAGGGTAGGCAGGGTGACAGTGGTGGCAGCTCCTCATGCATTACTCAGAGAACCTTGGTGAACTCACCTGGCAGCATTCCCCTTATTAGGACTCTCCAAAATCCCCAGCTTAGGCATCATAAAGTCATGAGCTCGTAAAGTTAGAGGAATCCTTCAAGATCACCTAGTCTGATCTACCCTCTTCACCCCCTCAGTTAGAGATCCTCCTATAGTGTCCCTAATATGGGGCGATATAATCTGCCTGAGCACCTGCCAGGATAGAGAGCCTGCACTTTGGAGGAGCCCATTCAACTGTTGTGAGGCTCTAGTCATCATAGTATTCTCTCTTAATTAGGACAATTAGGATTTGGTCCTCAGTAACTTTTACCCGTTAGCGCCACAGTAAATAATCTCATGTTCCCTGTCTCTAGGACAGTCTTTATTTTTTTGTGGGAGTTGTAATCATATATGATCACTCATATACTTCAGTGTTCCTAGAGTAAGTAACACTAGTGCTGTCAACAACAGTTCATTATTATCACATTGTTTCCAAATCTTATCTTGGTTGCCACCTTCTAGATATTTTTCTAGTGTATTAATGTCATTATTAAAGTGAGGCATTTCAGTACTTCACATTTATTCTGAAGCACATATGAAATACAGTGAAACTTTTACTTCCTTTCATATGATGCTAATAGATGTAGTTATATCTGTTTTTGTTTTTGTTTTTAAGATTTTTATTGGGGAATTGGGAGAAGGGGAACAGACAAGTTGCTGTCCTTTTGTTCTTCAGTCTAGTTGTGGAGGACGTTGCTTCACTGGCCCAAGT